TCATGTTCAACATTAGCAAAAGGTTTGCAACCTGTTGTGAGTTCCCACATAATCATACCCATACTATAAACATCTGATTCTTTAGAAAATGAAGACCCTTTAAATATTTCTGGTGCGATGTAAGGTATTACTCCATATATTTCATTATTTGATGATGTAATATTTACAGGTTGTGATAATCCTAGGTCTCCAATTAGCCATTGGTGTCTTTCTTTATACCTTTCTTGCAATGAATTATTGTGATATAATATGTTTCCACTATGAAAATCTCGATGTATGTAATCAGCTTTATGAATAGTTTCAAGTCTATAATAAAATAAGTGAATTAGAAATTATTATAAGTAATAGTAATAAATACATTAATATAAATACCCTTCTGAAATTTGCCATAAAATCATCAATTTTTCTTTATTCCATGTAATATTTGCAAAATTTTTTTGTAACCAGTTATGTAAATCTCCTCCTGATGCATATTGCATAACTAACATATATTCACCTAACTTAAAGTCCTTTGTAACGCCATGCACCCTGATAATATGATGTTTAATTTCATAACAATATTGATATGACTTTAACTAAAAAAGTTTCAATAACAAGAATTAAATTATTATTATAAAATATACAATACGAATATTAACAAATATTAAAATATTTACTACCTCATTTAAAAAGTATCTGCTAGTATCTTTAGAATTTTTAAATTTTTTTAAGATAACACTTTCACTATTCTGAAAATGTGCAGTCCGAGTTGCATGATATATTATGCCATATCCTCCTCTTGCAATTTCTCTTATATTTGTAAACTGAGAATATGGTATCCATTCCATAATTTTTTCTGATTGAGAATTTTTGTAGTATTTACACATAGAATAAATGGTTAAATTTATTTCCGATAAAATAAAATATTTGTTAATATTTTTTATTTCGTCTAAAAACTTGTCTATTTTTAAATTATCATAACGTACTTGAATTCTTAAATCAAGGAGAAAATTATCTAATTCATGATTTCCACTCAAAATATTTGTGAAATCAGGAATGATAGATGGTAATAATCCTTTTACTCTTTTGCATTTTTTACATCGAGATTGAGTTGTTAATCCAAAAATAATATTTGTTGTTAAGCAATATCTACATCCGGTATAAAATATAAGACAATTTCTACAATATTTCTGGCAATCTGTTGTAAATGTTAAATCTAAATCACAAGCATTACAAGAAGATATATTATGCCACCATGGTAAATAAATAATTGGAATAGGCTTTTTAATTAAGGGGGATTCTATATATTCAGAAGAAATTAGATAGCAATCTGTACACAATTTGATTTTCTTCATAATATAGTCATCGTTTCCTTGATATAGTGATTTTCCACATAGTTTACAATCCTTTTCACTTTCGATCACATTATTATAACAATTTACGTATAAATCGGTATAACGGAAAATATATTCAAATGTTTGTTTAAAAAGTAATACTACCAAGCAATTTCCGCAACAATGTTGAATAACTTGTGGTTTAAATGTCCTAATTTCATGATCAATACATTTTAAGTTCATTGAATAATGTGCATCCAAATATAAATTATTGTCTTTTATACCAGTAAGATAACGTGATAAACATTTTCTGCAATATTTTTGATAAGTAAAAAGCGTATGAACATATTTTTCTCCACAATAGATACATTCATTTTTACGTCTATCAAAAGAAATAAATGTAATTGGTATAGGACTAGATTTCAATTTTGGAGTTGGATCGAAAGAAATTTCTTTTAAAAGTACCATTTTGTGTTATATCAAATATCGATAAAAAAAATTAGTAAGTTCACAACATATTTATAATTTTTTGACATGGTCATACGTCATACAATCTATTGATCAATTGGGTTAAGAATTCTCATTAGAATTCCCACACAGAAAGTAAGACATACAGGATAATGCATAGAACTTTTCGATTCCATGCCGAAAAAAAAGTAGTTTATTTAATAATTTTTCATTTACTGACTTTTATGTATTATTGTACGACAACGCTATTGCTCGATATGTAGATCGCCCTAAAATTGATATGAAATTTTGGTGCCGATTATTTAAAGAATTTTCGAACAAGCCACAATAATCACGTATAGAAACAATAGAAAAAAACCTTTTTTTTTAACAACAATCTATAGACTTTTATTATGTCATATAGCTTCATTATATCATACATACATATATACTTATTATTTCTAGAAGTTGTAATCGTTCAAAAAAATCTTAACCGGTTAGTAAGTTAGTAACCGGTTAACCAAGGGATTAATACTAAAATATTTAATTTTTTTTTTTTTGGTTGTAATCGTATCTATTTGATTCTATTCACATACATGTTTAGTTTATAGGTAGTAACCCCATATTAATTTGTTGATCAAAAAAGAAAAAAATTGGAAAGCTTCGATGCATACTTCTGGCTCGCATTACCTGCATTATATAGCTCTGACCAGTAGAGTTTGGAATCGATTAAGGTTAATCGATTAATTAATCGACTAAGACGGTTAATCGATTAAGGTATCTCAACAATCGGTTAATCGATTAAAATTATCAACCCATAATTCTGGTCAAATTATCTAATGCGGCCCAGAGCTGTGAATTTTTGGTCACGTGTTCTCCGAACTTGGAAGAATTTGTATTAATTTTTTAATGATAATAATAATAAATAAGACTTTCCTATAACGATCAAAAACAATTTGGTGCAATCTGCGGTCAAAAAAAAAAAATTTTTAATATTTTAATATTAATCGATTATTAATCGATTAGGGCTCTTGGTTAATCGATTATTAATCGATTAAGGTTTTTTTGGTCGGTTCCAACCTCTACTGACCAGAATTACGGTCAAAATAATTTTAATCAGTTAATCTCTAATTATTTCTTTATTACATAATTTAGTGGCTTTAGCCTCTTCCCTGAAGTATGTATTTTGAATGAAGCTTGCTGTTTTGACGATCAAATTATGTATAGTAGAACATCATCTTTACTAATTCACCTTGGTTTGTTCAGTACATAAGTTTATCATGCATTTCTTGTACGTTCATTTTTTTTCTTTTATGCACATTACTATTGAGAAACATTGTTGTACAGTAGGTATGTATTATAAATTTATAAAAATTTATATAATAAATTTACATTATATATGATTATATGTTATGTGTGTATAGTGATGTTCACTATACATTGATTTTGACATGATAAACATATTCCTTGTATGTATCCATACGGTGTATATATAAATGTATCCAGTGGCGCAGCATATGTTTACGAAGAACCACCAGTTGAACCGGCAAAAATTGTAGCACAGGGCCAGCGTTACGGCATTATGCAAGAACGCGTGAAAGTAAACAGTGGTGACAAATAAGAATTTTACCTACTCAAAAAAACAAAGTCCCTCAGATAAATATAAACAGCGCAAACCTGATGGGATGTGATGATTGTAATGATTTAGAGGTATGTCACGTGATGGCTAAATTTTTGCCGGTGCGCTTGTGTAGACAGTTACTGCGGCTGCGCCTTATCATTTGTATTTATGTGCGTTTGGTGTACTGTGCGTACATACATGGCAAATAAATAATACTAATAGCTAAAGATCACCATACACTACACACAAGGGTCTCTATACACTACATGTTTCCTAATTGCCCATTAGATATATATATAAGATTATACTAGATAGTTAGATACTACATAAACTCTACAAAAAATACAACTCCTGATGCACAATAAATAGCTTTAGAAAAATTTTTTACTCATATTTTAATATCTTCACTATTTTCAAATGAAAAAAAAAAATAAAATTATTTTTAGAAAACCAATTATTAGTATTTCCGAATTCCAATTGAGTTATATGATTTCATCATCCATTATTTGTAGTAACAATAACTGTAATGTTTCAAACTGCTCTTTTTTATTAAAATTTGCCCAGGAGTTAACATTAAGCGACGCGACATTTTTTGATTCAACTCTGGCTTTAAAAGCCATCAAAAAAATTTTTGTTTAATTAACAATTTAATTTGTTTATCGATTAAAAATTCAAAATAAATTATAACAAAGTAATTAAAATCTTAGGTCACGCAGATTATAAAGAAATGTTTCATGTTACCAAAGTACCTAGACACTTATAATAAAATGATATTAGCTTTGTCCTATAGCCAAATAGGATCACGCTTTTTTCATCGTGCCGATTTTTTTTATTAAGCTATAAATAAACTCTAATTGTATAATTATTATTGATATTTTTTCATATTTATAAGCATGACGGTAGCGAGTAACGAGATAATGAAAATCATATAACGTAAGCAACGCATGTGATTTTACGCTATGGTCAATTTTTATTTGACTAGCCCTATAAAAAATGTTTAGCCGATAAATATTCGGAATGGGGTCGATTTTCCGGACACTCGCACGCTATTATACAATATTTGTATAATTTAATGCAAGATGCGGAGATTCAGCATTTTTAATAAAAAACGTACAATATCATGATGAATGTCCAATAAATGTCAAGTAAATGTTCGGAAAGGGGTCGATTTTCTGAACAAAAAACCGAACAATGTTTGGACAATATTTTTTATAGGGTAGGTTTGTTAAATTAGTTCAAAAAAGCATATTAAACTGGGTTTGAGCACAAACTTCAACTTTTAAAAATGTGTTCCGAGCGAAACGTGCTTCAAGTTTGTTCTGGATTTTTTAGTATTAAACTCAAATTATGTCCTAATAAGCAAGCATGCAATTTCTAATTTAAACTCGTTTATAAACACTTTTTATTTTAAAGCAAAAAATGTTGCGTGATTAAATAATATATTTTATACGCATATTTATTATTATCCCTTTCATCCATTTTATAAAACTAAGTAATTTACATGTGACAACAATTAAATAACTTCAAACTATTATGTATGCTCATTAAATTATTCTATATTTTTATACACGAGTTTAACATGTTTTCCTATTTAAAATTAAAAAAAACATAAGTATATTTGAATAAAATTTAATTATAACTAAATAATCATTTACCGCTATCATTATTAGTTTCTTCTATATTTAATTCTTCAATATTTCGCTTCCCTAAAGAAGTTACAGGTACACTTAAGGACCCACTATTATAACTTGCATTTGTATGTCAATTAAATTATTATAAATAATTAATAATATTGAATTTTTCCAAAAAAAATTTTTAAACTTTAAATACCTTTCAATGTCTATATCAAATCCTTGTTCTTCTGAAATGTAACTATAACCTAAAAAATTTTAATGCATTTGGTTAACATTTTAAGTTACTACGATTAGTTTTTAGATTTTTTTCTAAGACAATACCCTGCGATGAATTATTATTCGATGAACATTCGGATATGAAAAAGCTTAGTGGTCTACTTGTATAAATAGCTCTTGGATGAGGTTTTTTAGCAAACTCAGGACGCTTTTGTGATTTTATTAACTCTGTTCTTTTTAATTCAGCTTTATTAAATATATAGTTATGCTTATTTCTGAAAGACCAACTACCAAAAGTATTCCGAATATTTTTTGCTAAGGGTCTTTTTTTGGGATCAGGATCCCAACAACTTTTCATTAATTTTGCATAACATTCTGGTGTGTCTTCTGTAATTTCAGGTCGTTTTCCATCAAGGATTTCAAAAATCAGATTGATATCATGTTCAACATTAGCAAAAGGTTTGCAACCTGTTGTGAGTTCCCACATAATCATACCCATACTATAAACATCTGATTCTTTAGAAAATGAAGATCCTTTAAATATTTCTGGTGCAATATAAGGTATCACTCCATATATTTCATTATTCGATGATGTATTATTTGCAGGTTGTGATAATCCTAGGTCTCCAATTAACCATTGATG